TCCCCCCCCCAAGACAAACTTGCTGTCAGCTGTGGATGTAAACCCCACCGAGCTTTCCCATATAGGCCGGGCGTTACAGACGGATGAAACGTTATCGAATGTGACAGCGTATTACGCATCTCTCTCTCTCCTTTTAAAGGGCTTATTTGCTCAGCCGATAATAGAACGTTTACAGGATGCAGAGTCATGTAAAGCTTAGTAAAGTAAGCGATGTTTGCTCGTTCTTTAAAAATTTGTGGGTTTTTTGGGGGGTGTTGGATTTTTTGGGAAGGGGACAAAGTGGCATACAGCTGGAAGCTGTGGCCTTGCTTACAGTTACGTGCGTAAGCTGATCTCTTTTTCTTTCTCTCTTTCTCCCCACCCCCCCCCCGGTAGTACTTACACCAAAAATACGTTTGTGATTCTGTAAGGCTGGCCTCTGCCTTTTAAAACGGGAGGCCTCTCCGAATCTTAACTATTTTTACCAAACTTCTCAGGGAATGATAACTGCCACCTTTTCTTTTTCTGACCCCACATATTCAATAAAACAGCTGCACGTCCTTTTACCTTCTTGGGTAAAGGGCCTGGCAGCAGCAGACTGCCATAACCTGGTACTCACCGAAATGAGTTGCCTGATGCCTTGCTCAGCACCAAGGCCTCCGACTGTAAGGGCAACAGCATGTAGGAACGATTATCTAGCGTCAGAAGCTAAGGTGATACAGAGAGATACTGTTGTGCCACTGATCCAGAAGGAAAGCTCGGGGAGGGGGGAGGCAGAGAAAAAAAGCCACCATTTCCTGGGGCGTTACGCAGCACTTTAGGGAAATCTCATGTAAATGAAACTGGTTGGTTTTCTTTTCTCTACTCTCCAACCTCATCCGCCCCCATACAGTGGTAAGTTATGGTGGAGTGATGCTTTTTTTTTTTTAGATAATAAAGATTGCCTTAATTCTTTTTTTGCTCCCACTAATTAGTTATAATTGGGGGGGGGGGGGTTTGCATACAAAAAAGAAAGTTATTTGTTGTATTGGGTTGTCTGAACTAATTTTTCACTTATGTGGCTATCATCAGGTAATTTCCCTTCCCCTCCCAAATCAATTTCTTCTATCTTGAGAGGAGAATGAAGCACCAATTTACTTGATTTGCATGAGCTTAATTTGAAACTTTGTAAAAACGCCCATTCTCTCCTCCTGTTACCTTTACTTTTAGCAGAATTCCTGAAGGAAGCTTCTGCTACCGTGTCCATCACTGTCAGCTTGAACAAGGACGATGCAGCCTGGAACAGAGAGAGTTGAGAAGTCTCAAGTATATTTTAAAAAAATATATAATTACAAACTGATCCCTATTACAGCAAGATAACATTCATGATGCAGTGCTGTAGTATAAGGGTTTTATTTCCACTTCCTTTCTGTATGGAGTGGAGCACTTACAGATTTAATTCTTCCTCTAGGCTCTCTTTATTTGTGTTTTACTCCCTGTGAAAAGAATGCCTTTGATAATACCATTTTAAAAAAGCTTTCGTATTTCTGTGGCATACTTTCTCACACTCCGTGCTCTCCAGCTTACATGATATACTGTGGTCTTTTCCATGTTCCCACTGACGTAGTCAGAGACAGCTATAGAGCTCTCTTGTGGCGTAAACCTTTTATTTTCTCCTATGGTACGCTTAGCAACAAAGTTTGTAATATTCCAATCCCCTATAATTGCAATGCAACTGCAGTTTAGACTTCAAATTCTGATGTATTTTCATAGGAGGGCATGCAAGTCTTGGAACGGGTTGTTCACCTGGTATTAAACATCTCTTCAGTACGCTGTTTGGGAAAGTGCTTTATGGTGCAAATCTCTTGCTACCAATAAATCAGTAGTTAGCAGGACGAACGTTACTCAGAGTGGTATTTCAATGCTTGTGTTATGAGCTGATGTCTATTCGCTTTGCACACCCAAATTCCAGTCCAGGTCTTCACGTAATGCAAATCAGATTACTGAAATCCCGGGTATGCTGATCAGGAACAGCCTGTCAAGACTTACTCATGGATCTAATCTTAACTCTGAATTTAGTTTAAAATAGTAGTATTGTTCCTTTACCGTAATGCCTCATTCTCATTTTCCTCCTGAATTAATAGATTTTTCCCTAGGTAACTCTGACAAAAGTAGTATTATGAGTGGCTGTACTGGTACTGCCCAGGTGATTAGACAGCTCTGCAAAGTCAAGCGATTTAATTTTTTTTCTTAACTACTGCCTGCCTTTTTTTCCAGATCTAATAATACAATGTCAACTGGAAGGGTACGAACGAAAAAAAAGGCATGTCCTTCAGACCAGTCTCCGGACAACCTTCCTCTGAGGAGTTCTGGAAGACAGGTATTTATAATAATTTAAAGACACGTGGGTTCGTACTCCGGTATTTTTTTATTTTCTGTTGACATTGATAAAGAAAGTGGGCTTCATCGTGCCTAAGTTAGGACTTAGAGTGCTTACCCAGAGAGAGGGAGAATTAGTTAATTCTGTGAATAAGCAGGCCAAGTGTCTCATTTGTGGATAATATTCAGAAAAGATAAATGCTCAATATAACCTGTAAATACTTGGATGTGTTAAAAATACAGTCACAGATTTCTGTACAGCCAGACAAAGCTGTCTGCCCATCCAGACAGAGGCCTAAACCAACATAACACACAGTACCTTTGAGGCCCAGAAGAGACATTTGGTATACAGCTTTTTATCTGGAGTCCAAAAAAAGCCCCAAGCCTACCCTAATATTTTATTTGAGGTGCAGATAAGATTGCCACTAATTAATACCAATAAATATGTGAAGAAGAGATTTTCTTTTTCTGAAGGAGAAATAGAAATGAACGCATGACATTTGACTCATTAGCACGTGATGGAGCTTAAAATACGATTTAAACTGGAAGCTTTGCTTATAATTTCTTCAATGGCATCAGTTAGACTAAGGCAAGGCGTTTCTAGCTTTAAATGATATTTCCAGCCTTACTGGTGGGGTTTTTTTTGGTAGAAAAACTGACCTAGTTTGACAGCTGTTTCATGCTGCAGCTATTTCACAATGGATACAAAAAATTTTCATTAGTACCATTTTAACCATTTGATGCTACCCACAAGCTGCGAAAGTATCTGAGTGCCATTTTGTAGAAGTGGCATTTGTGTCGCTTTTGGTCAGTTTTCAACTGTTCTGTATTAGGTGAAGAAGAAAGCGGCTGAAGCAGCAGATGATGATGATGAAGCGTCAGAGAAGAAATACAGAAAGTGTGAAAAAGCTGGATGCACTGCAACATGTCCCGTTTGCTTTGCCAGTGCAGCTGAAAGGTTTGTTTCTTTTTATTTGTTTTCCGTGGACTTTTCTAAACTTGCAGCTGAAGTTTAGGATCCTAACTATATCCTCAAAAAGCCCTTTGTTTCTAAAAGTAGGGGGAGAATCGAAAGGTACTAATAGGAGTCTTAAGATGCCAGGAAAGTGTCACAAGTTATTCCTGTTGTGGATAACTTTCTACCATGCAAGTTGCTAATTCAGATATAGAATAGCTTTAGAATACGCTTATTTACGTTATTAATGGTGTTTTCTGGAACACGCCTTGCCTCTGTGAAACTGAGAGCACAATAGTGTAATCTGAGGAAGCTACACTTGCTTTCAAGATGGAAAATGAAACTGTCATTTACTGCAGGAAGTCTTTATCGCTCTTTGGTTGGAATGCTTTGCAGTCCGAGGTGAGATTCTGACCCTGAAATTTTAGGTCTTGGGAGAGAGTTGTACTTATTTGAACTGTTTGTTCTCCAGCTGTTCGTGGCTTTCTGTGTCCTTGCACAAGTCCTTTCACATTCTGACCCTGGCCATACTGAATGCATGATACTGGCAAGGTGTATCTATAATAAGCAACACATTAGACCTCGTTATGCAGTAGGCAGACTGTCATTATATAGCATTCCTCCCTCCCTGGTTAATTGAGACAAGCTTTCCTTGTTGTATTTGTTTTCCAATGATATAAAACAATTCAGTGCTTCATTTAGTTACCTACGTGGATCGTTCTTTGGTGGCAGGAGGTCAATGTATTCTGAATGTTGTCATAGGAAAGCCAAGTGTTTTGGCAGTTGCATAGGCGACTTATAGGGGAAATGAGTCGCCGAGAGATCAGCATTGGTGATATTACATTTTTTATTTAGGAAACAATAGATACTGCTTAGTCATCTTTCTGAATTGTTATTTTACTATTTTGATTTCCACCCCTCCTACCCCCCCCCAAGTACATACTTTCAACATTATTTATTTGAGATGAGATCACTTCATGGCTAGCTATTTCAGTTAGTAGCTTAGGTCACTGCTTTTTACCTCGTGCATTGAACCATTGCATTGAGTTTAATGAGAGTTTTCCAAGTGAAGAGAGATTGCTTTGTCTGATGAATATAATCCTTGCTAATGGCTATTTCTGTCTGAGAATAAATGCTCAGAATGTGTACTGCTTCCTCGGGGTTTTCTCTCATTGGGTTAAAATCGCAGCCAACTCGGTCACGTGAAAAAAACAGGCAACATCTGGTTTGTGTTCAGATTTGCCTTTATAGTTTCGTCAGTTGTTCTGGGGACGAGATGGTCTAATGATTTATGAATCAATTGATCACACGTACAAGAAAAATACTAATTTAAATGATCCCTCCCACCCCGGCACTAATATCAGAACAAACTGGAACAAAGTAAAGGAACTGTAAGTTCCTGTGGAGAGGGACTTTGTCTTCTTACACATTTGCAAAACACTTAGTGTGTCACAGCACATATCGTACGAGCAAACCTACTTCATGTTCAGGAAATGTCTGCTTAAAGGGTATTAAAGACAGGCTCAGTTGACCATTGTTAGCAGGAGGTTGCTGGAAGCCAGAGCAACTATAAAACTGCACATTGTGTACATTTGGCCTCCTTTGCATCTGGTGTTGCTTAGTTTGGAAACTGGAAATGTTTGAGACAATTGAAATGATCTTATTGTTATTTGTATGACTGTAGCGCCTTGTGCAAGTCAGCTTTCATGAATGTAACGTAAAGCCCTGGCTTGTCCTGAATATTTTGTTCATGTTCTAGAATGTGCTGCTGTCAATAGAAAGATTTTTTTTTTTCCTAAATTTATCGTAAGACTATTTCTATGTCTTCTGCGTTACAGATGTGCTAAAAATGGCTATACGTCTAGATGGTATCATCTTTCCTGTGGGGAACACTTCTGCAATGAATGTTTTGACCACTATTACCGAAGGTAGATTTGCCAATTAAGGTGGTGCCTTTTTGGTGCTTATTAAAATTTGGCAGACGTTACAACTGTTACGTTTATGTACATGATGTTTCAATACAAGGGCTTGTCCTCCGTGCTTGCTTTAGTCAAAGTGAGGCTTAGATATTGGTGCTAAAACTGCAGGTGTTGCATGGACTAATCATCGACTTAAACACAGCAGTGTGAACAGAAGCCGTTACTTTAGGCAGGCTGGTTTGTACGTACAGTTATTCTGAAGCTTTTTGTCTTTTTTAAAACAACATCAGAGAATTTTAAATTGTGAGAACAGTTTTAAGTAAATCTATTTTCCTTTATAACGCAAATCCACTTTACAATGTGAGTTCAGGAGACCTTGCCTCTCTGTAACATCACATCAGTGAGCGGATTTAATTCTTGCGGTTCAGTGACCGGGGAGACTGTGGTCGGGCTCACGGAGTGCTTTCAGCTCCAAGCCTCTTCCCATTTGAGTGGGAGTCCAGTCCAGCTCTTCTAAGACTTTTGGGTGCTTATGTGCTCAGCAGTATCTGTGACTCAGTCCAGGCTTTAGGTACTGGGAAGTGTGCTCCTGATCCAGAGGACAGGATGCAATCTGTTGCTATCGTAAGAACCATGACTTTCACCTTTTATAACAGGAAAAATATAGGACTCTCTACAGCCTTATTTCTCTGTCTTTATATAAAATGTTTAATTTTAGAATAACTGCTGTTGCTTGAAATGAACTAGATATTCAATTTTCTGATTGCTCGCTGTTTTCTTTTCTCTGTCTTCTTAGCCATAAAGATGGTTATGAGAAATACACTGCCTGGAAAAGGATCTGGACAAGTAATGGTAAAAGTGAGCCCAGTCCAAAAGCCTTCATGGCTGATCAACAGCTTCCTTACTGGGTAAGACAGAGAGTGATTTATTTAATAGGGTATATTCAATGTGATGTTCTGGTCTGAGTTTCTGATACTGTATGTTCAAGCTGCAGGTCAGCTGAGTTTCTGTGGGGGGTTTCTGGTATTAGAGGACTGTGGAAATGCTCAAGATAATAATTCTGATCAGCTCTTCCATTGTTGGGGACCTTCTCCACACCCCACAAAGAACCACCTTCTGTTGCTTTTCAGTGAAGTAGCAGCTAAGATCTGTGGTGTTCAGGTAGAGTAAGACTTGGCAGGGAAAAGGGAGGATACCAGCTTCAGGAAAGTATGAGCATGAAAGACTTCCAAACCAGATTTTGCGTTTCCCTCGTAAAGGCAGCAGCAGAAGAGAGACTGGAATGGAAGGAAGTTTGGTGGTAGTGGGGTTTTGTTGTTGGTTTTGAGGTGGTGAACAATGTGTTTTTGCAGTAGTGCTTGCAAAACCCGCTGAAGACCGTAGTAACTGGGTGTTGAATTAATTTTGGAGTTGGGTTCTGTGGAGAAAGTCAGTCTTACAGGAGATGGGTGCAAGGTTTCTGTATACCAAATGTCTTACTTGTGACCTGAGGATTACATGAGAGCGAATTTAACGAACGTATTTGACAACTTTCTCACATCTCGCTTCTTTCTAATTGGTTAGTTATGGTTCATTAAGCTTATCTGTAATCAGACAGCAACAAGTAAAAACATGTTTGTTTCGTGACTTGTAGGTGCAGTGCACAAAGCCAGACTGTGGTAAATGGCGTCAGCTGACAAAGGAAATCCAGCTGACACCACAAATAGCAAAAACCTACAGATGTGGTATGAAACTGAACAATTCCACCAAGGTAACACAGAGGAGTTTTGCTCATATTGAAACTAACAAGTTGATATTTCTTGTTTGCAGACATTAATTTCTTCCTGTTTGCTGCTGAGTGTTTCTAATGTCAAAATGATTGCCTGATGGCCCGGAGAGCTGCAGAGTGACAGGCCTACATGCTGTTTGGACTTTTTGTTACCCGACTGGAAATGTCAAGAAACAAGTATCTGGACTATCTTTGTCTGCACAGTCAATTGTAAAATCCTCCATTCTGAAGCTGTGGAAAGATTATCAGCAGACATACACCAAAATGTTTATTTTGGTTTTCTTTGGCCATACTTCTTGTTGAGGACAGCATTTGAAAAGCTCCATGAGCTTTTATTAATTTCTAGCACGTCTGTCCTGGGGCTTTACATGAAAACTTTCAGCTCTGGCATGAAGATCACTGTTGAAATTTGAGAGTCCTTATAGTGCCATAGACTCCATATAGTTAAAAACATAACATGAAAACACTGACCGTATGAAAACCAGAAGGGTCAGCATTTAATCTTGAAATTTTTGTCATAAAGATGCTCTTAAAATAAATGAGAAACTTTCTTTTATAGCCTAGACTTGAAAGGGTCTCTCTGGTATATGTGGGATATTTCCAGAATTTTTCTATAAAATTCCATATTTTTTTTCATTTGTTTGTTTGTTTCAGTGTTCCGTTCCATTTCATGGAATAGAATGTATATTTTAATGTCTGATCATCAGAAACTCACTTAACAAGTGAGAAACATTTTCTGGAGTGTTTTTGCTTTATGGTGTGTTGTGTTTTTTAATGATGCATTTCTCTACTATTTATTTTTACTAACATAATCATCTCTGCTACAGAAGAGTAACACATTTTTGGTTTGTTTTTTAAGTTTAAAGAGCTATGGCATAGACAAATTACTTTGGTTTGTATGTAATTTTTGTCGTACAGCTTAAGAAAATAGCTCTGATACCGTTCACTTTTCTTTCAGACTGAGGGCTCAGACCAGTGTTCTATGCCTGAGGACTTGGTGAGTAGTGGCTGTTCCTCCTCATTTGTCCTAGAACATGAAAGCAATCTTAAAGCACGACATATTTCTTTCCTTTTCTTGGTCCTTTGGCCAACTGTGGTGTATTTATGCATTTTGCTGAGGAAACTGTCAGACGCTATCTGCAACAGAGCCTAGGGCCTTCTACTTTCTCATCTCATTCCTCTTTTCCCTTAGCGTACCAGTTAGCTTTCAGGTGGTGCGTGGTGTCTTTGAGTTGGGCCTGTGATTCAAGGTTTACTCCTAATTCTCACTTTGGATCAGGCAAAAGAGTATTCAGTAGCCAGCTTTCAAATAAAATTCCCCATCCTAAAATTTCCCTGTCTTTCAGGTGGTTTCTATCTTTAGTCAAGCTAGTCTCCTCTTTTTGAAGACTGCGAGAGAACATCAAAATGTGTTTTCTCTCTCCTCTCCCTCATAATACAAAACTAGACTTGATGAATGTTGGTGTTTCGATGGATTTATGATCGTGTAACCCTGCATTTCAGATTTAGTATGATCTGATGTTCAATAAGCCAATGTTGACAAGCGTACCTGAGGTACCTCCATCCCAGGAAACATGTTCAAGCTTATCGTCGACTCTCGTAGAAGCTTTGTGGTTTTGCTTCCTTAATGCATGCTTGATTTGTAAATTAAGGCTGAATCGTTAGCGTTCGTTAGGGTTTTAGAAGGTCTTTGATGGGGATAGCAGAATCTAAATTAAATTGATCAGTTAGTGTAAGCTTTTCTAAGTTCAGATTTCTGGATGCATAAACGATTGTCAGTGTTTTATAAAGGGCCTGATAAGGCACAGATGTGTTGTCACGGCACGTCTCATCTCTTTGCTTTCCACGCGAGTGTGGAGTTTGTGTAGTTTCAGCTCCATTTCTGAGGAAGAGATTAATGCTACAGGTTTTCTGTGTCAGGCTGAGGAAGGGGAAAGAGGGAGAGAAAATGTCTTTATGACTTGCAATTCTGAGATTGGTACTTCTAGTGCTTTTTGGTCTCAGTTTTGGAGCGGGGAGGGGGGGAATTGGTTCATTTTCCAACGTTTTCAAAGTACTGACGTGTTCTCTTCTCCCCTCTTTCCTTCACTTCTCCGCTTGGCCAGAGAGTGGCTGAAGTTTCAGACCATTGGTGGTACTCCATGCTCATACTCCCTCCTTTGCTGAAAGACAGTGTGGCAGCTCCCTTTCTAGCTGCATATTATCCAGACTGCGTGGGCATGAGTCCATCCTGTACCAGCACTAATCGCTTACCTGGTGAATCCAACCTTGTGAAGTTAGAGCACTTAAAGAACGTGCCTAATTTGACTGGTAAGGGCCATCTGCAGGGCTCTGTTGCTTAAATAGGTGTGATAAACTTTGTCTTATAACTGAGTTTATAAGGCATATAATGCTCCTGATTCAGAAATATGGGTTCTGTTCTCAGCACTAATACGTACTCCCAGTGTGACTGCCTCTGTACTTCTTTGATGCAATTTACTCGTTTGTAAGATAAAGGTAATACATTTCATATGGCATTTCTTTAGGGAGTAAGCACAGACTGCATAGGCTTTTTCTTTACCACCTGTCATTTGTTCGTAGAAATGGGAAATTAACATGCGGGTACCTAAAGATTTTTTGCCTTCTTAAGGAAATGAAGATTTATCAAAACAAAACGTGATTCTGCTAGTTTTGATATTGTGGATCTTTGGGGCTTTGGAAAAAAGGATTTCATTTCTTAAGGCACTCAGATTCTGTTTAGGGCTGTGGGTTTTTTTTGCTAATGACAGCTCTGAGACTGACAGCCTCGGAGTACGGATCTGCAGCATAGGTCAGGTATGGAGAAAGGTAATTCAGGATTCCCATACTCATCTCAGAGAGACTGCTTTGAGGAAAATTCAGCTTCTTTGTTGTCTTAGCAGGCTTTGCTCTCCTTAGGTGCTGAAAGTAAATCTGTTCATCTATTCAACAGTTATTTATCTGCTTATCAGACCGAAAACTTCATTACACAGACCTACCAATCCTGCACATGGAAGACGATTACTTTGAGTTACTACCCACTCTGGGCAGCAGTGGGAGTTGAAGATGAAAGGGGTTCAGAGTACTGCAGGAGCATGTACAGTGATGCTAGCCCTTAGACTCAAGTTTAGATCCTGTTCCCTGTTGGACTTATCATGGCATCTGAGGGCATGTACCATTTCTCTGACAAAACATAAGCTCTGATAGGTCCAAGACGTACCCATCAGGTAGCAGGATAGTAATTAATACTGCACAGCCTAGAGGGTAGGAGAGGGGAGAGCAACATAAATGAAATCATTCTGAAGGTGGCTAGAGGCTGGAACGCTTCGTTACTTGTTTAACTGTGTGAGGTCAGTGGATCGTCTTAGAGGGAAAAGGATGTGATGACAATATGATGGAATATGACTAGTTCTTGGTGTGTCTTTGTTCAGTTCCAGGCATGAACAAGTATTTCCAGCCTTTTTACCAGCCCAACGAATGTGGGAAAGCACTTTGTGTGAGGCCAGATGTCATGGAACTGGATGAGCTCTATGAGTTCCCAGAATATTCACGAGACCCTACCATGTACTTGGCTTTGAGAAACCTGATTTTGGCTCTGTGGTACACAAACTGCAAGGTAAGAGATGCCAATAGTCAGTTAGTTTGTTTACAAATAATAGGTCCTTTTGGGGGATGTGGACTCTCTTCTTAGGGATTGGACTGTCTTCTTGGATGTCTCATTATGCACCAGAAAATTTGCTCCCATCCTGCTGA